AGTCTGTTGGAACAGCCAGCCACAAGGCTTATCTGCTGGCAGCAGCGCTAAATGAAAACCAGCCTGTAGCCACCGATACAACTTGTTTCCAGTGTGGCAAACCAGGATCACTGATACCCCAGTGGGGTAGAACAGTGGCCTCTACCAAAAGAAAAATCCGCAGCAGCGGCACCAGCTATCTCTGAACAGCTTATTTCTGAACAATTGACTTTCAGCCACATTGAAGCATCTTCATCCCACTGGCTCCAGCAAACAGGGAACGGTTTGCTTTTACATTGCCAGTATATAACAATTCGCAGCCCACCCAGCGATATCAGTGGGTTGTCCTGCCTCAAGGCATGCGGAACTCCCCTACACTTTGTCAACATTTTGTGGGTGAAGCATTGAAACCTTTCCGCATGCGCCACCTAGAGGTGCTGCACACGAGCTGCATCTGGCAGTGTTTGCCTTCCTAACCATTTGCCTTGCCATCCTTTGCTGCACCTTTATACAAGGAAGAGAAGCAGACGACCAGTCCAGTTGAAACCACCATATTTCACCTCATTGGCTGGCAAGCAGCTGTCGCCAGAATCCTACTCTGGCTGGCAGTATCCACGGCTCAGCCACTTTTGAACTAGAAGAACAGCGTTGTTGAATAAGACTTTTAGGGAGAAAATTATCATAAGATATGGAGGAATGATATTTTTGTACAAGATATGCTTATGTTTGCCAGTTTATTGCATGCTTCTAAATGTTGGGTGTGTATGCCAGTCATTCAGGCAAATGCTTCATGGTGTGCCTGTCAATGGATCTTTTCAATTTACTTATATTATATCCCCCTAAGCAAACTTTTAAGCCTCCAGTACAATTGACCCTCCATGAGCCTCCCCCCATTTATTTTCAAATTAAGGAGGGGAAAGAATCATGGGGCATATATCCAAACTGTCAATATACATTGAATTTCACTTTTAATAGCTCTTGTTCTCTTACAGGAATATACAGTGACAAATCTCAGTGCTATAGGAGTGACACCAGTGCATGGCTAATAAACTAAAGGAAGCCTACCATGCAGCTTGGAATCAGAATTCTTATATTCTTGGCCTCCGGATTTTAGTGATCATTATAGTAGTTATTGATTTTAGTGATCATTATAGTAGTTATTTGCATTATTTTGTGTTGCTGTATCCAATGTATTCTTTCTTTAATTTCTATATGTACTGCATGGTTCTCCAGTCCGCAGCCCGCTTCCGGTGTCAAAGAGTTGCTTATCGCGCTCGATATATCGCGTATTGACTCTGATATAAAGTAAAGAAAGAGGGAATGTGGGAGTCATAAAGCCACGGTAAAGGCTTGTAATATTGCAGGGTGCCCCCTGACCTTGGCTGACCAGCACTCTGAGCTTTACAATGTATTGGAATGTATTGGAGCTGTGTTTCCTCTGGGCAGTGATTAACCTTATATGGTTTGTGGGTGGGTAAAAGCCTTGACCGGATGAGGTAACGTGAGACACTGGCAAACAGCCATGCGGCTGGAGAGAGACAAAGAAGGATAATAAAAGTAACGGCAGGAGGAGAGGGAGGAAAAGGAGCTGCTCCTACCATCATGAAAATATTGCTGGCTCTCTGTGTCATAATTTTATGCTAAACTTCGCCATTTGTACGGCTGGCTCCGACAAGTGGTGCCCCGTGTGAGGCTGAATAAAAGAATACGTCTGAGGACTAAGAAGAGGCAACTTAAAGAAAACAGTCTGAGGCAGACTGAGGCTTTTAAAAGGAAACCGTGTGAGGTTTATCGATCCTAGCAAAGGATATCATCGGCTCACTACGCCCGGCCAGGGTTTCAAGCGCTATTCATCTTAAAAGATCCCGGTGAGTCCGATCCTTTTCATCTTATTTTATATATTGATTTTAGAAAAATGGGCAGCTCTTTGTCTGCTCCCCAACAGAAGTTTTTAAAAGACTTAAAATTTCTCCTCTCCTCCAACGAATTGGAAGTTCCTGATGGTGATTTAATACAGCTCATTCTGGCTATCAAAGAGCATTCCCCCTGGTTTCCTGCAGATGGGACTTGGGAATTAAAACTTTGGGACAAGATTGGGGCACATTTTCATGGGCACCCCAGCATAGGTGTTCGGATTTTAAATGCATGGTGCAAGGTTCGTTATGCCATGGACTCTTTATCACCAAAAAATATCTCTATGGCTGCATTGCCAACACAACCTTCAGCTTCTTTAATTCAGCCTGCTGTGTTAGAGACTGTTCCAATACTTGCTTTGCCAGCAGCTCCAGACCCCAAACCTCCAGACTACAGTTCCTCACCTGAGGACCCAATCCTGCAAAAATACCGTGGTCTGGCTGGCAATGATCCTAATCTTTCAGTGGCAGAACCAGCTACTCCTTTTCAACGTGCAGTCCTTGGCTGTTCCTTAATTCAGGATACTATGGCATTCCCTGTTATTGTGCCCCCTGCTGGTGCCCCAGCAGGCACCCAAGCCCAACACCAACCTTTTGACTTTAAGATTCTGAGAGAGCTGCAACAGTCAGTAAAGGCCAATGGACTCCAAGCCCCATATACGCAGGCGCTTTTAGAAGCCACATTAGCCCAGCTCTTGGTTCCAGAGGACATAAAGCTTTTGGCCCATACAGTGTTGCCCCCATCAGCTGGTGTTTTGTTTGCCCACGAATGGGAAACTGCCTGCCGTGCTTATGCTCCAGCCTTGTTACAACAAGTCAGAGGAAATAATCCAAATGTTACCCTCGCAGACGTCTTAGATGCCATGTTGGGGCGTGGTCCCTTCGCTCAAGCTTCAGTGCAAGCCACACTGCTGCAAATCTTATTGAGGGACACTGCTCTTGCTGCTAAACAAGCAATGAGAAAAATCCCAGAACCCACCAGTATTCAATCAAGGTGGGGTTCAATCAGGCAAGAGGCAAGAGAATCATATTCTTCCTTTATGGACAGGCCGCTTACAGCAGTGAGTCGCCAAATTGAAAATCCTGAAGCCAAACAAATAATTATCAAACAATTGGCCTTTGAAAATGCCAGTGAGGATTGTAAACTTGCATTGCGACCGATAATACACAATCCTGCCACAGACACAGCAGCCATGCTTCGCATTTGTCAGTCTGTTGGAACAGCCAGCCACAAGGCTTATCTGCTGGCAGCAGCGCTAAATGAAAACCAGCCTGTAGCCACCGATACAACTTGTTTCCAGTGTGGCAAACCAGGATCACTGATACCCCAGGGGGGGTAGAACAGTGGCCTCTACCAAAAGAAAAATCCGCAGCAGCGGCACCAGCTATCTCTGAACAGCTTATTTCTGAACAATTGACTTTCAGCCACATTGAACCATCTTCATCCCACTGGCTCCAGCAGACAGGGAACGGTTTGCTTTTACATTGCCAGTATATAACAATTCGCAGCCCACCCAGCGATATCAGTGGGTTGTCCTGCCTCAAGGCATGCGGAACTCCCCTACACTTTGTCAACATTTTGTGGGTGAAGCATTGAAACCTTTCCGCATGCGCCACCTAGAGGTGCTGCACACGAGCTGCATCTGGCAGTGTTTGCCTTCCTAACCATTTGCCTTGCCATCCTTTGCTGCACCTTTATACAAGGAAGAGAAGCAGACGACCAGTCCAGTTGAAACCACCATATTTCACCTCATCGGCTGGCAAGCAGCTGTCGCCAGAATCCTACTCTGGCTGGCAGTATCCACGGCTCAGCCACTTTTGAACTAGAAGAACAGCGTTGTTGAATAAGACTTTTAGGGGAGAAAATTATCATAAGATATGGAGGAATGATATTTTTGTACAAGATATGATTATGTTTGCCAGTTTATTGCATGCTTCTAAATGTTGGGTGTGTATGCCAGTCATTCAGGCAAATGCTTCATGGTGTGCATGTCAATGGATCTTTTCAATTTACTAATATTATATCCCCTAAGCAAACTTTTAAGCCTCCAGTACAATTGACCCTCCATGAGCCTCCCCCATTTATTTTCAAATTAAGGAGGGGAAAGAATCATGGGGCATATATCCAAACTGTCAATATACATTGAATTTCACTTTTAATAGCTCTTGTTCTCTTACAGGAATATACAGTGACAAATCTCAGTGCTATAGGAGTGACACCAGTGCATGGCTAATAAACTAAAAGGAAGCCTACCATGCAGCTTGGAATCAGAATTCTTATATTCTTGGCCTCCGGATTTTAGTGATCATTATAGTAGTTATTGATTTTAGTGATCATTATAGTAGTTATTTGCATTATTTTGTGTTGCTGTATCCAATGTATTCTTTCTTTAATTTCTATATGTACTGCATGGTTCTCCAGTCCGCAGCCCGCTTCCGGTGTCAAAGAGTTGCTTATCGCGCTCGATATATCGCGTATTGACTCTGATATAAAGTAAAGAAAGAGGGAATGTGGGAGTCATAAAGCCACGGTAAAGGCTTGTAATATTGCAGGGTGCCCCCTGACCTTGGCTGACCAGCACTCTGAGCTTTACAATGTATTGGAATGTATTGGAGCTGTGTTTCCTCTGGGCAGTGATTAACCTTATATGGTTGTAGGTGGGCATAAAAGCCTTGACCGGATGGGGTAACGTGAGACACGGGCAAAACAGCCAGGCGGCGGGGGAGAGACAAAGAAGGATAATAAAAGTAACGGCAGGAGGAGAGGGAGGAAAAGGAGCTGCTCCTACCATCATGAAAATATTGCTGGCTCTCTGTGTCATAATTTTATGCTAAACTTCGCCATTTGTACGGCTGGCTCCGACAAGTGGTGCCCCGTGTGAGGCTGAATAAAAGAATACGTCTGAGGACTAAGAAGAGGCAACTTAAAGAAAACAGTCTGAGGCAGACTGAGGCTTTTAAAAGGAAACCGTGTGAGGTTTATCGATCCTAGCAAAGGATATCATCGGCTCACTACGCCCGGCCAGGGTTTCAAGCGCTATTCATCTTAAAAAGATCCCGGTGAGTCCGATCCCTTTTCATCTTATTTTATATATTGATTTTAGAAAAATGGGCAGCTCTTTGTCTGCTCCCCAACAGAAATTTTTAAAAGACTTAAAATTTCTCCTCTCCTCCAACGAATTGGAAGTTCCTGATGGTGATTTAATACAGCTCATTCTGACTATCAAAGAGCATTCCCCCTGGTTTCCTGCAGATGGGACTTGGGAATTAAAACTTTGGGACAAGATCGGGGAACATTTTCATGGGCACCCCAGCATAGGTGTTCGGATTTTAAATGCATGGTGCAAGGTTCGTTATGCCATGGACTCTTTATCACCAAAAAATATCTCCATGGCTGCATTGCCAACACAACCTCTAGCTTCTTTAATTCAGCCTGCTGTGTTAGAGACTGTTCCAATACTTGCTTTGCCAGCAGCTCCAGACCCCAAACCTCCAGACTACAGTTCCTCACCTGAGGACCCAATCCTGCAAAAATACCGTGGTCTGGCTGGCAATGATCCTAATCTTTCAGTGGCAGAACCAGCTACTCCTTTTCAACGTGCAGTCCTTGGCTGTTCCTTAATTCAGGATACTATGGCATTCCCTGTTATTGTGCCCCCTGCTGGTGCCCCAGCAGGCACCCAAGCCCAACACCAACCTTTTGACTTTAAGATTCTGAGAGAGCTGCAACAGTCAGTAAAGGCCAATGGACTCCAAGCCCCATATACGCAGGCGCTTTTAGAAGCCACATTAGCCCAGCTCTTGGTTCCAGAGGACATAAAGCTTTTGGCCCATACAGTGTTGCCCCCATCAGCTGGTGTTTTGTTTGCCCACGAATGGGAAACTGCCTGCCGTGCTTATGCTCCAGCCTTGTTACAACAAGTCAGAGGAAATAATCCAAATGTTACCCTCGCAGACGTCTTAGATGCCATGTTGGGGCGTGGTCCCTTCGCTCAAGCTTCAGTGCAAGCCACACTGCTGCAAATCTTATTGAGGGACACTGCTCTTGCTGCTAAACAAGCAATGAGAAAAATCCCAGAACCCACCAGTATTCAATCAAGGTGGGGTTCAATCAGGCAAGAGGCAAGAGAATCATATTCTTCCTTTATGGACAGGCTGCTTACAGCAGTGAGTCGCCAAATTGAAAATCCTGAAGCCAAACAAATAATTATCAAACAATTGGCCTTTGAAAATGCCAATGAGGATTGTAAACTTGCATTGCGACCGATAATACACAATCCTGCCACAGACACAGCAGCCATGCTTCGCATTTGTCAGTCTGTTGGAACAGCCAGCCACAAGGCTTATCTGCTGGCAGCAGCGCTAAATGAAAACCAGCCTGTAGCCACCGATACAACTTATTTCCAGGGTGGCAAACCAGGATCACTGATACCCCAGGGGGGGTAGAACAGTGGCCTCTACCAAAAGAAAAATCCGCAGCAGCGGCACCAGCTATCTCTGAACAGCTTATTTCTGAACAATTGACTTTCAGCCACATTGAACCATCTTCATCCCACTGGCTCCAGCAGACAGGGAACAGTTTGCTTTTACATTGCCAGTATATAACAATTCGCAGCCCACCCAGCGATATCAGTGGGTTGTCCTGCCTCAAGGCATGCGGAACTCCCCTACACTTTGTCAACATTTTGTGGGTGAAGCATTGAAACCTTTCCGCATGCGCCACCTAGAGGTGCTGCACACGAGCTGCATCTGGCAGTGTTTGCCTTCCTAACCATTTGCCTTGCCATCCTTTGCTGCACCTTTATACAAGGAAGAGAAGCAGACGACCAGTCCAGTTGAAACCACCATATTTCACCTCATCGGCTGGCAAGCAGCTGTCGCCAGAATCCTACTCTGGCTGGCAGTATCCACGGCTCAGCCACTTTTGAACTAGAAGAACAGCGTTGTTGAATAAGACTTTTAGGGAGAAAATTATCATAAGATATGGAGGAATGATATTTTTGTACAAGATATGATTATGTTTGCCAGTTTATTGCATGCTTCTAAATGTTGGGTGTGTATGCCAGTCATTCAGGCAAATGCTTCATGGTGTGCCTGTCAATGGATCTTTTCAATTTACTAATATTATATCCCCTAAGCAAACTTTTAGCCTCCAGTACAATTGACCCTCCATGAGCCTCCCCATTTATTTTCAAATTAAGGAGGGAAAGAATCATGGAGAATATATCCAAACTGTCAATATACATTGAATTTCACTTTTAATAGCTCTTGTTCTCTTACAGGAATATACAGTGACAAATCTCAGTGCTATAGGAGTGACACCAGTGCATGGCTAATAAACTAAAAGGAAGCCTACCATGCAGCTTGGAATCAGAATTCTTATATTCTTGGCCTCCGGATTTTAGTGATCATTATAGTAGTTATTGATTTTAGTGATCATTATAGTAGTTATTTGCATTATTTTGTGTTGCTGTATCCAATGTATTCTTTCTTTAATTTCTATATGTACTGCATGGTTCTCCAGTCCGCAGCCCGCTTCCGGTGTCAAAGAGTTGCTTATCGCGCTCGATATATCGCGTATTGACTCTGATATAAAGTAAAGAAAGAGGGAATGTGGGAGTCATAAAGCCACGGTAAAGGCTTGTAATATTGCAGGGTGCCCCCTGACCTTGGCTGACCAGCACTCTGAGCTTTACAATGTATTGGAATGTATTGGAGCTGTGTTTCCTCTGGGCAGTGATTAACCTTATATGGTTTGTGGGTGGGTTAAAGCCTTGACCGGATGAGGTAACGTGAGACACTGGCAAACAGCCATGCGGCTGGAGAGGACAAAGAAATAATTAAAGTAACGGCAGGAGGAGAGGGAGGAAAAAGGAGCTGCTCCTACCATCATGAAAATAGTGCTGGCTCTCTGTGTCATAATTTTATGCTAAACTTCGCCATTTGTACGGCTGGCTCCGACATACCCCTGCTTTACAGACTGGGAAGGGGGATGACCCTAAGTGACATCCAACAAGCTTTGTGTGTGACAATCCAAACCATTCTTTCTGCATACATTTCTAGTTTCCTTCCACTAGCAAACTGGAAGTGTGTGCAGCTGCTGATGGCACAGATGATGCTGCCATCATTACTGTCCAGTCAGAAAATATATTTTTAACAAAAATGCTAAAAGCCACGCTCATCAAGTCCTTTCTTTATGTCAAGGAGCCTAATTTTGCAATCAACGCTGTTTCAACCTAAGAACGGGGGGGGGGGGGGGAGGGAGAGGAAAGATGAGAGGCCAGAGGAACAGAGTTTTTACAAGGTTACAAGGTTGCCAGGTCAGCTGCATAAATTTCATAAGCCCAAAGCAGTAGGTTTTGACTGAAGTAATTACTCATGGCATTAATTCTAGGGACTTGATTTATCAGCAAGCAGACCAAATGCGATGGGATACACATCCAAAGCATAGGGTTGGAGGGCACGTTGTAGACCATCTGGCCCAAGATCCTGCTCAGTGCAAGTAATTGTCAGGGCGGCTGCTGGGAGCAGGTCAGCAACAACTCACAAGGTGTCTGTGAAGCTAACTCTTTCTTCAAAGAAACAAAACAGCTCAGTGAGCACAGCAACTCTTCCCTGTAGATCCTGCCCCAATGAGGCAGTTGTGAGGACTGAAGGGCCCTGTGGTGTTTGCCTCCTAGATGGGTCATAAGGAAAGGGTTAAATGAGTGTGATGTGATTGGCCAGAGAGAGAAACTGATAGGATGAGTTAGAGTGAGAGTCGGAGCTATGTGGAAGTCAGTTGAGGGTTGGGAGTTGAAGAAGGAAGAGGGAGGTTAAGTCTGTGGGTTGGTGGAGTTGTGTGGTGAGTGAGTGAGAGGAATTGTTAGGTGGAGTCAGATAGATAGTTGGAATAATCAGTTTGAAGTTGTTAGGAACGCATAGGACAGTTAAGGAACTAAGATTAAGAAACTGCTAAGAACAAATTAACTGAAACCATAAGCTTGTTCATGCCTATAAATAAACTTGATTATTTGTTAATGTTAACAACTGTCTGGACTCCGTATGTACCCGTGAGAAACGGGTTGGTGGCAGCGAAGAAAGCAATCACAGTGGTGGCACAGGGTCAATAGACAGTCAAACGTCCGGGGACCCTGTGTGATCGCCACAGGCCCTGCTTTCCCATCACTCTCTAAGGGTCCTCCTCCTCTGGGTCCTTCCTAAGCAATCTAAGACTCCAACATCTTGTCTGTCTCTGCTCAGCCCTCTTCATACTTCTGTGGGTTCTGGGAAACCACAGGGGAGGACAGCTGATCACTGCAGGAGAGAGAGAGACCTCCTGGCTTCTTCAGCAGCCTGACTCTCAACTCTGCCTGTTGCCTCCAGCCTCCACTTCTGCCTCTGATTCTGCCCCAGGCTAAACCCTGTTGCTCCTTCAGCTTCCGACAGCTCCCCCCCCCCCAGTCTGCTACCTCTTCTCCAACTGACCACTCATTGTCATGTCACCACCAATCTCCTGACTCTGAGCCTTCTTCCCCTGGGGACTTCCCAACTGGTGTCTCCCACCCCTCCTCTGCATCCAGCCAGTCCATGACATCCACCCAACAGATGACTGTCCAGCCTTTCTTGAAGTAGTGAGGGAGAGCCCACGATCCCGCTGGATAGCTGGTTTCACTGTCAAGTTATTTTATTATTAAGAAGTTTCTTCTAACTTTTAAACAAAATTGATCACCATATAACTTAAGCCCATTGGGCAGTATTCAACTACTGTACTCAATCATTGCAAGGATTTCTGTTGGTCCATGGGACCTTTCCCTCCTTTCCTTCCTCTGCACACATCCCTTCCCTTCCCTGGGTCTTCTCCAGCAAGCTGAGGGAATTCCTAGAACTGATTCAGGGGGCGCATAGGGGGAATGGCAATCTGAGAATGTTCTGCTGTGCAAGGCTGCCTCCTTCCCCGAGAATCCTCTCTTAAGGTGCCACTCATAAAAGAGAATCTCAGCTGCTCTTCCTTGAAACTTCCCAATTACTTTTCTTTTCAGAGAAAGAAGAACCATTATTTTGAGTGCGTTCATGGCTTCAGCATGACACTGACTGCTCACATTTTAAAGAGTTTTTTGTGCAAGTTGGTTACCACTTTGCTATTGGAACCAAATGTGTCTTGATGTCTCCGACTCTGAAATGTGTTCCCTCGGCAACCTGCTACCTGTTCATAACACCAGGGCCCAAATACTTGCTGTGATATTACCGCCAGCCAGATTCCCAGGCTTGCATTCAGTGTCCTGTGGATCTATCTATCTAGTGCTCAGTCAGAACAGGAAAGCTATCACTTTCAGAGAAGTGTCTGCTTCTCTCTCCTACAGAGTTTCTTCACACGAAAGTTTCCACCCCATATACAAGGCACTTCTCCTCACAAATGTACTAAAAAATGTATGCTGCTCCAGTGACATTTAGGGTTCCCAGCAGTTTACATTAGGAATATCAGTTCCAGGTGCCATATTACGTTTCTTGCACCTGCCATTTTATATTACCCATAGACACAGTGGGCAAATCTCCAAGCTAATTTCCAAAATGATTTCCTTCCAAAATTTGCCTTGGTGTCCTAGAGGGAGAGAAGGTTAAAGCTGCTGGTCAAATCTCCTAGGCAGATGCAAATACAACTATGATAAAGGATATGTAACACAATTTGGGGAATTAAAATGAATGTGTGTGTGTATGTACACACACACTATATGTGTGTGTGTGTGTGTGTGTATCCTGAACATTTAACACAATCAAATGAAGATTTCCAAGTCATGGGGTGATGAGTTTCATGAGAATTTCTAGGTCTGAAAGAAGCAACCAAATATATTTCCTTGATTTCTAAACGGTGTATGTCTCAATATGCTTCCAAGTTAGTAGTTAGTAGTACTATTTTAAAATTTCTATTATTATTATTATTATTATTATTATTATTATTATTATACCATTCAACAGCATATTTCTTATATTATTTCATTTCATAAAATTTATATACCACTTGATTGTAAAAGAAACTTCAAAGTGGTTTTTTTTTTTAAAAAAAGAATACAGTGGTACCTTGGTTTTTGAACAGCTTAGTTCACAAACAACTTGGAATTTGTTTTTTGTTGTTGTTTTTTTGAAAATAATGTTTATTTCACCATTTCATCCTGAGTGTTCCATTTCAACAGCAAGTTATACATTCTTGACAAATTCTTGATTTTTGGATCTAACAATTCTGTTTCCAATTTTGATTTTTCCACCTGGAAACCAACTTTTTTGTCCAGATTGTATGCCTCCATTATTTGATAATAATGGAGCCAATCTCGCACTTTGTTTTTCAATTTTTCAAAGCTCTGCAATTTTAATCTGTCTCCATCTTGTTCCAGAATTTCCCAATATTTTGGCCATTTGGCCTCCATATTGAGTTTTTCTGTGCCTTCGCTTCCATTGGTGACAACCATCTT